AGAACCATTCCACTTCGCCGAATCTAAACGTCTCTTTCGATAAGGTGGTCCAGTGTTTTGTTTGTTTAATTTTGCTGGTTGATTTAACTCCCAGCAAATCGATATTTCTCCAAGTAACAATTGGTGGTGACTGTGAGATATGGCACCCCATAGCTTTTAGAGTCACCTTTCGTTTTAGTAGTAGTTTTAGTCTTAGTTTTAGTTTTAGCATTAGCCAAATTATCCGTACTTTTAGAAAAGTATCGTTTAGTTTAGGATAGAAGACCTTTTAATTCGAAACGAAGATTTCTGGGTTGAGGAAAATGAAGTTAATAGAGAAATTCAGGATGATCTCGCTCAAGAAAACCAAGTACTAGTTGATGGTGGAAACCAGCCAGAGGATGTTAAAGAAATCTTGAAACAGATTGCTAGTGCATTTAAAGATGTAACCAAGGAATCTTCATATAGAGAAACCAATTGGGTTCAGGTCAAACTCTTCAAAGGTGAAGAGGATGAAGAACCAATCAAGTGGATTGAGGTCTTTGAGCGAGCTGCAGATGCAAATAATTGGAGAGAAGAGCATAAAGTTAAGATTGCCTTGGGCTATCTATTCAAAATAGCGGCCAATTAGTATAAGGGAAAGAAAAATGAGCTGCAGTATTGGAATAATGCCGAAAACTTGGACGCCAGCTTCAAGAAACAATTTGTGGATTACTTCACTATGCGGAATGATGCTATAAGTGGTAGATAGACTTGGACAACTTAGAGCAAGGAGACAATGAGCGTGTAGATTCTTACGCTTATAAATTTAAGCGTTTGTTGTCTAAAGTTGATGCTGATAAAGGTATTCTGGCTCCTTATGTTGTGGATGTTTCTAAAAGGGCTTTTAGGAAACATTGCAGCGCTTTTGTCTTTGGCAAAACTGAATAATCTTGACAATGCTATTGTAATAGCCCGGAGGATTGAAGCAGGTAGCCATTATGAAGATAAGAAAGGAGCTAAGTCGGTCTTAAGGGTGGAAAAAGAATTGGAAGATTTAACCCTTAAACTAAAGCAAATGGCAGCTAGTTACGAAAAACTCACTACGACTCTAGCTGCTACGATGGATGCCCATCCTACTCGGGATAGACTGCCTCAGCTACCAAATTCTAAAATTATTTGCTTTAATTGTGGTGAGCCAGGTCATATATCTAGGAATTGTTGGTCCGAAAGGAAGTAAAATGACCAAAGAAACTCTATCTAGCCCACACAAATTCTTTCACGTTCCGGCAATATTAACTATTGTAGGATAGAGGATAAGAATTATATTGAAAGTGAGGTTTTGGCTAATGACCAAGCCCGGTATTAACCCTATGCCACTCAAAAAGGGCTAAGGCTAGTAAAGAAGTCCGAGTCAATGTGGGAGGATAGGTTGAGGCGACGTGAACCAGAAGAGCAGCCCCAAGAACTATTGCCAATGAATGAAGAGTCGTATATCCCAGAGGAGCCAACTATGACTCGCTCTAAGTATAGAAGGAGACCATCTAGAGTGGATAACCTTGAACCATATAATGTTGTTCAAGACTTGTTAAACACTAAATCTAGTGTCACTATAGTGCAAATGTTAAAATACCCTAACCAACGCCGTAATATTGCCCAAGCCCTTCGTCATTCTAAGTTACCTGTGGAGACTAATTATGCCCAACCCAAAGAAAATTTAAGGACCACAGCCGCCCGGTATTATGTAAAAATTAGAGAAAATCCAGTAGTAGCAATTCTGGACACCGGTGTAGCTATTAGTTTGGTTACCAAACCTTTGGCAGATAAATTGGAACTTAAGATTGGAGTACCTTCTAATACTGTGGTAATCACAGCCACAGGGCCCGTGAACAGACCTTGGGGAAGATTGAAAACTTAAAAATGGTTGTAGGTGACCTTTTAGTTTCAATAACTCTCCAAGTAATTGATTTCTGGGATGAAATATTGTTGCTAGGTACCAATTGGTTCCAGAAATCAAAGGCCCGTATGCACTTTGATGAAGAAAAGTTATACCTAACTTATCAGAGCCAAACAACCCGCTTGGCTATATTACATGTTGGGGAACATCAGCTTTCGAAGCCTTATGATGAAAGTGACGATAAGGACCTCTTTGATGAATTAGAATTTAAGGATAAACTGCTAGAAGAATCTGAGAGCTATTATACCAGTGAGGTCTCGTCGGAAGAAGAGTTACATATAAACCCTTAGGATGGGGCACAAAGTTGTGCGGCTATAGAAGAGGTTCTGGTGAGGCATTATGACGAAGAAAATGAAGAAAAAAAAAGAATTGGGTGAAATATGGAAAAAGGCACTAGATAAATTAGTAGCCCAGGAAGAAATAGGTAACAAGGGCCGGGAACAAGCTGAATGGTTATTTGCTAAGTACGAAGATATATTTGCTAGAGGATTAGAAGATTTAGGGCGGACTAATATTGTTCAGCATTATATCAACATGGGTTCCGCATCTCCTATCAAGCAGGCGGCCTATCGATTAGCTCCTAGTGAGCAGGAATTTTTACAAGAAGAGGTTCGAAAAATGTTGAATATGGGATTAATAAGGAAGTCCTATAGCCCATGGTCATCTTCAGTGGTATTAGTTCCCAAGAAGAATAGAAAATTACGGGTCTGTATTGATTATCGGAAAATCAATACAGTAACAAAGAAGGACACCTATCCTATTCCAAGAATAGATAATATGCTGGAGACATTCGGGAATGCCTCTTGGTTTTCCAGTTTAGACTTGGCCAGTGGGTACTGGCAAGTCTCCATAGCTGAACAAGACAGGTAAAGACGGCCTTTGTCACCAAGTTCGGGGTGTATTAGTTTAATGTTATGCCTTTCGGTCTCTGTAACACCCCGGCTACGTTTCAGCAGCTGATGAACCATGTGCTAAAGGAGTATATTGGGCAATTTGTTGCTGTCTACCTAGATGACATTACTGTCTACTCTAGAACTTTCTGGGAACACATAAAACATTTGGAAAGGGTCTTTATCAAGCTTCAGGGGGCACGGTTAAAATTAAATAGTGACAAATGTTACTTTCTTAGAAAGTCGTTAAAGGTTCTAGGCTATGAAATTACTAGGAATGGAATTAGGCTAGATAATGAAAAGGTCATCAAAGTCCAAAAATACCCAGCACTGAAGACTCTGCTCCAATTGAGAGGATTTTTGGGTCTATTATCCTACTATAGGCGGTTTATTAAGGGTTTTGCTTCTCTTGCTCAACCCTTGTATCACCTACTTCGGAAAGACGTGCCATATGATTGGGGCGAGCCTCAACATAAGGCATTTGAAACATTGAAGCGCCATTTGACTACTGCCCCAATTTACAGTACTCAAATTTTGAGAAGACATTCTACTTACACATGGATGCTTCAGGGATAGAGTCTCGGGGCCGTGTTGTCCCAAAAAGTAGGGAGCCGTGATTGCATATGCTAGCCGAAGTTTAAGTCGTGCTGAGAAAAACTACTCTACTACTGAGTTGGAGTGCCTGGCAGTAATTTGGGGAATTGAGTATTTCCACCATTATTTAGGCATTAAGCCTTTTGTAGTGATCACGGACTATGCCACTCTTAAATGGTTGGAGACATCGAAATTGAAAGGAAGAAGAGCAAGGTGAATCCTCCAGCTCCAATCTTATATTTTTAAAATCATACATAGGAGTAGTCGGGTGCACTCTAATGTAGATGCACTATTCCATCTCTCTGAAATAAATGATAATGAGAAAAAAAACCGGCCAGAAGAAGCTAGGGAGGTTTTTAAAGTTGATGTTATATGTATAGAAGATAGTGAAGATGAATAGTACTCAGAAAATAAAGATTATGAAGAGAACTATGAGGATGAAGGGGATTATGAATCTGAGGTAGAAGAGATTAATTATGAAAGGACTGATAGTATAGAGGAACAATGGAATACGTGAGAGGTGAATGAGAGTGAAGTAGTGGACATGAATCGGCAGGAACAAGGGTATGAACAATTATTACATGATTTCGAAGTAGAATCAGGCTATAGATTGTTATGAGAAGGCCATAGTGATATTGCCCAACAGTGGTGAGAATATGAGAATGGAAAAGGAGCTGAAATATTACTTTCTCAGGATGAAGTATACTTAGTGGACGATTTAAGGGCAATCCAGAGTGAAGAAAGCTTCTCTGATATAACCCAGATAGAATGAGAGCCCAAAAAAAATGTTTCTTGGCCCCTTACACCCAAAGAAGTTATAGAAGCCTCAGAGGAAGAAAATGACCCCAAGTATAAGGGTGATGAAGGATCATCCAATGGTAATTATTCTTCTTCTTCACAATAAGAAACGTCAGATGATGATGAGTCCCAAATAGAAGTTGTAATAAACAGTAGATCGACAAGTCTAACCACCCCAGAGGAAGAAACCTTGACCGAAGAGTGGAAGGTTAATAAGAGTTTTGCAGACCAAGTAAAGCAAGAGAATGCAATGATGGATGAATTTATCAAATGGCCAGAAGATGACCAGGAAGAAACCTTTGAGCTACAAGCCATTGATATCGGTACAGAAGGAATTGGTATTGAAAAGGATAAAAGGCAATGAATATGGACGTGTCTATATATATACTTGTCTTTCTTTTTACTAAGTTAACTCCTAGAAGATGTCAAAAATTGGTCTTTGCAGGAAAAACCCAGCGCTTTGAAAATGAGTTCTTCCTCTACGACCATCCTACCCTTAATGACTATATAGCAGCCTGGGAGCTCAATTTAAGGGAGGCCATATATTGGGTAGATTTTTATGGCTATTCTTTAATTGCCAACGACCCAAATGAATTACTAATCCTGCAAAACCGGATACAAGATGAAGTACAACAAAGTGAAGCCCGGCTGTTAATAGCTTTACAAACCGGCATTGATCCTGGGTGTGACCGAAGACTTGTAGATGATAATGGTGTTCTTATTTTATCTGTGGAAATCGAGTTGGATTAGTAAATGCATATAAATACCAATATCCTTTTTCTTTTAATATCTTAATATTATATGACCTCCCAGACATTCATGTTCTCAGGATCATATGACTGAAAGAAAAAAAAAAAAAAAAAAAATAGGTACTTTGGTAACACCGTCCAAATTTTATTTAGTTTTTTCCGAATTACAGACCTAACATTAGTAAAGTTGGTTAGAATGGGGTAGGGCGAGTTGGAGCCCTATTCACTTGAGAAAAGATCGATGAAAACTTGATCCGCAAATGATCAGTTGCAGATTGGGGTATTAAATTAGGAAGGGTCCAATAGGGACTAAGTTTGGAAAATTAAAATAGAATGCAAAAAAAAAAAAAAAAAAAGTGTATTGGAAGAAAATGATGAGAGTTGAAGTTTAGATTTTTGGTTATAGCCGAATGCTAAGGCATTTCTCTGCTATCAAAAATCTTCTGAGAAGATGTGTAATAAATGACCCTAAGAATTGGTCAAATGAAAATAATGGCGGCATCAGGAAAAATCGATCAATTGTAAAAGTTAGGAACAGCAATAATTAAAGATACGTCCGCACTATTAAATAAATAGTGTCATAGTGTATCCAAGCAAATTGAAGACATTAAAGAACCTGAACAAGTTAAAATACCAAACAAACTATAGGAAGAATTCTCTGTGTGGAATTTCCTAATGGCATAAATCTGACGTTAAGCAAAAATTCAAACCAGGTAGTCGGTGTCCTGGCACAAAAAGTACTAAGATGGATCCGGAAAGATTTAATCAATTAAAGCACTTTCTTCAAGAACAATATATTGATCCGAGATTGTCCAAGAAAGAAAAAAAGAGACTTATAAATAATAGACGGATGTTCTTCTTGAAAGACAGAATTATTTTCCAAAACAACAGCAGAAACTCAAATAAGCCATTGAGGGTTATTCAAACTCAAGAAGTAGAACCAGTGTTATATTTGGTTCATGATCACCCACTAGGAGGTCATTTAGGGATCGAAACCATGTTTGAGAAAATAAGGCAACTCTATTACTGGCCTCAATCATATGAACGAATACAGGAGTATGTGAAGTCCTGTAACCAATGTCAACGATGAGGTAAGCCCTGGCTGACTACTCCCTTACACCCTATGCCAGTCGTGGCTTCTTTTTATCAGGTCGGTATAGATATTGTAGAACCACTACCTATCACATCTAGAACAAGTAGATACATAGTGGTGGTAACAGATTATATGACTAAATGGCCAGAAGCTAAAGCCATTAGTTCAGCAAATGCTCAGGAAGTAGCTAATTTCCTCTACAATGAAATAATTTGCCATCACAGGTGCCCCGAGTTGATCCTGTCAGATCGAGGAACTCATTTCCAAAATAAGCTAGTTCAGAAATTATTAGAAAAGTTCCAAACTAAGCATGTTTTGTCGACGCCATACCACCCCCAGACAAATGGGCTGGTAGAATGGTTTAACTGGACCCTGTGTGAGTCTATTGCCAAAACCGTGGAAAATGTAGTAGACTGGGATCTAATTATCCCATCTATATTGTTTGCTTATTGAACTTCAAAGCATTCTACTACAAAGATAACGCCATTCTACCTAACATATGGTCGAGATGCAAGACAGCCCATTCAATCAAATGAAAGTGTTGGGGAAACTATGGCCCAAAAAGTTCGAGGGCTGGTAGATACATTACTGGTAATCTGCCAAGCTGCCATTTTTTAAGTACAAAAGGCGCAGAATAGACAAAAACAGCTTCACGATAGAAAAATTCAGAATATTACTAAATTTGGAATAGAAGAAAAAGTATTGGTGTACTATATATTCTGACAATATAATCATAGCGTAAAGCTTGAACCGAAATGGTCAGGCCCATACTACATTCATCAGGTTTTTGACTGGAATGTAGTCAATTTGCGCACAATGGAAGGTCAAGTCGTATCAACCCCAATTAGTACTAGTCTAATTAAAAAGTATAGAGATTATCAAAGGGACACCGAAGGAGGAAGGATATTAAATTAAAGTGTATATTGCGTGATGGAAAGAAGTAAGGGACAAATGATGTTTTGATAATAAGAGTGTGATTTAAAAAAAAATATATATATATATATATATATTATAAATAGTAGATCGAAAAAGGGTTTCTTTTTTTGTATATATATAGCCAAGATCAAAACTTCGATCCATTTTATCTTTACAACTTCTAAAAAAAAAAAAAAAATAGACATTCACGCAATCATTAGAGATATAACCTCTCCTGTCCCTTCTGGTGTTCTTGTAACTCCACCTCTATTTGTGGCGCTATCTCCATTTGCAGAGACCCATGATCTCGTAGAAAGCGTGGACGCGACTCGTACAGCCTTGCTATGGGCCATTCTATTGAAAAATAGAATCAAAACGTTGGTATTGGCCTACTACCTCAGCATGTTATTTGTAACTGCCACTCCCACTCAGCAAGGAGCTATCTGAAGACAAGTAACTCAACATTATTACCTTGCGGCTAGGCGTGTCTATGATGTATTTGCTCCTCTTGGCATTCAGCAAATTTATGGCACCACTATAGTTACTTTTAATACATTTAGGCTGCTATTGAATGAAGATCTCCAACAATTGATCCTCTAGTGTTTGTGGAACTTACATTTTAAGTCGGGGGTATTGTAACCCGGGAAACTCAGACCTTCGAAAATTTCAATTTTAGGCCGGTTAATTACATATGTGCCGCAGAAGCCTATTTTTGGTTAGCGACAATCTTCGATTTATTTGGGTTAAAAACTTTTAGGAGCGATTTGTCTTAAAAGTCTTAAAGGTCTTAAAGGCGGGGGTATAATACTTTTAAGACTTAAAAGTC